ATGACACTTTTAATACAAAGTTGACATTATTTTTGTTATGACAACTTGACATTAACAAAGAAATCATTACTGATATAAATTTGTTATATAAGTATTACTGATTGCACTTTAAAAATTAGGTAACTTTATGTTATTAAAGGTAAAGTTTAAACAGTAATTATTTCCTGGTTAATGTCAAGTTGTCATAACAAAGACATTTTGAATAATGTCAACTTTGCATTAAAAGTGTCATAATTTACCGAATGACGCTTTATGACAACAGTCATAAATATTCATGAAGGCTTATTCATGTTTATGACAAGTGTTATGTCATGTTTATGACGGTGTCATGACAGTCTTATTCAACCCCCTTCAAATAAAGTGTTACCACACTTTCTATCTCTGTCTTTTACTTCTACGTTTAAGCAAACCTACCCAGCAGCCACCAAGGAACCATGTGGTGTAAAGTCCAAGGATATAATTGTGCATCTGCCTTGTATTTTAATGGCATATAAATAATTCCCTAGCATCACCTTCTACATCTAATGCCGTTTGATACATGTTTTAATTTCCCCAAAGCTTGACATTACAAGTGAGAGCTGGAACACAAAAAATGCTGCAAAATACCTCAGCATTGACCTTAATAATGAGCTAATATATGCTAATCTCATGCTGAGATGTGCAGACACACTGTCTACACCAGTGAAGATTCACTCACCTCAGGATGCTGGATGCTTGAAGGTGCTGCAACAGCAAAACAATCTGACCTATTTTCTTAGTAAAGCATGTAATTATCATTTCGTATGAAGAGAGAAACTGAAGTCAACTTGAGCTACGTTTACACGAGACGAGAAACTGTCTGTATTTTCCGATGCTGATTGGAAAAACGTTCCACATTTAGCCAAGACATCTTGAGTTCTCTCTAGTTGTCATGCCAGGCCGCTAGATGTTTCTGTGATTTTTAGTATGTAGTCGAACTTGCCCTCATCTTCCGCCTCACTGTAAACAGAAACCCTTCTCAATCTCCTGTGAACAAAGTGTCATACGTATTCCTTATCAGAAATTATGCTAAACTGAACAGGTTATTATGCTGCATTGTTTCTGCGCAAGTGTTGTTCCTGACTTTATTTAAGTAAGAAATCCTATAGATTGTATTTGTTTGGTTTGAAACCATTTACAAGTGGAAATACATTGAACTAATTTCTTTTAAAACTTAAATCTTCTCTAAAGAAGAAAATAATGAGACACGATGCTCATTTGCTTGTCCCAAAACACAACTTCAATGATCTTTTTAGCGACTGAAGTTTGTTTGATAACGGAACGAAGAGTGATTAGCCAATAATCTGGCCTAATAGTTCTGAATTGTCATTTGAGCCTATTTATAACTTAGAGGCAACATTATGACTTGAAAGATGGTCATAATTACAGCTTCAATTTTCTGACCGTAATGTGACACAGTTAAGTGTCTTTCCCCCCGCCTCTTCTACTTGTCTTCTTTTGAATAAAACTACTAAAACTAAATGTTTAACGATCTAATGTGCTGTAGAAAAAAAGAAGAAAAAAACCCCAACAACAAACACTTGTTCTAAAACTGGCCCTGCGTTTCTTTTGTACTTTTTGAAGGAAAATCAATTCTCAGCCAGCCCATTCCCACAGCGGGCCCCGCTGCCGTAGCCTGCAGGTACCGGCACGTAGCAAGTCAGCCTCTCTCTCCGTCATCGGGGCCGATGAGGCACGTCTGTTGTTTGCCGAGATGAAATATTGCTGCTGAGCCGAGAGGTTGGCTGAACTCTGTCTGAACTGACTATGCGCTAAATCAAGTCATTTGCATACGAGCACTAAGCTGGAAAAACTCCCAATCTTGAGGATGGGACGGGCTCATCCTCCAGAGTCGGGTCCGCAATTGATGGATGACAGCTCACGGTCACCGTTTGCCATGCCAAGGCAGGAAGTGACTGTTATATAGGAAGTATTAACATGATGGATAATCTGATGGCTTAAAAAAATATATAGTCCAACTATAAAAAGCAGTGCAGAGGAAAAATTGCCAATGGAGAATAGTTTTTGCATCAGTTGACTTGTTTTTCCTGCTTTGTTGGTGTTGCGTCCAGAACGCTATAAAGTACACAGGTCATTTCATAGATGCTGTGGTGTTGGCTTTTCAATTTTGAATAATTGTAATGTGAATCACCTTGGAGGTTATCTGAACCTGCTAATTATCCCACTGGCAACTGTGATGCCAAAGCACAGAGGTGGGTGAGCTAAAAATATCTTGTGTGTGTGTGTGTGTGTGTGTGTGTGTGTGCGTGTGTGTGTGTGTGTGTGTGTGTGTGTGTGTGTGTGTGTGTGTGTGTGTCGGGACTCGTGTTCTCACGGCACTCTCTGAACATCTGAAGTGTATCAAATTACATTTCCCACAAATTCAGCTGATCAGAAGTGAGGAGAATCTTCTTAAATATCCTATTAGCGTTTATTATAAATAAATGTCTCAGGTGGAGATCTGCAGGCAGTTCTTACCAGCACAACAAACTAGACTTTAAAGTTCTTATGAGTTAGTGTGGCAAACCAACAACACAAAACTGGTTTAATATCTACTTCCAAACATAGTGTTTGCCGTCTTTGAGAACAGACCTAAATAATGTAGTGTGTTTTTGATTCAGTGTATTGTTACACCATTTTTCCCTGAGATACAGTTGCAACTCTTTCAGGGTACGTCTGTACCAGCTTTGTGGATCGAAAGACTCACTTTTGCTCAAGCTCAGTCGTATTGAATGGAAAGTGTCTCTGAACTGAAGTTTTCTCGTCTTCCCACAAACTCCCAGGTTGGACCAAATTGGGCCATTTGCACAAATAAAGAAGCATTGATCTAAAACATCCTGTTTCCACTCTCATTTGACTTAGAATGATGGAAATTGATGCTACACCTGAGGCTCAAGTGTTTTTGTCAATGTTTTCTTTTAGGATTGTCCTGTATTTAGCTCCGTCCATGTTTTGTAGAAAACATCGCAACTTCCTCTGTCCCTGCTGAAGAAAAGCATTACAGTGTCTGCACATCCTTAAAAAGTCTTACAGACTAATATTCAACTCTAAAAAATTTGTCTCAAACTATGAGAGTTTTAAAAATGTAGGTTTGCAAAAATGAAAAAAGGGGCAAAATATCATTCTTTAGTTATCAGGGTGTCTGGGAATCTGAAATTAAGGCCTTGAAATGTCTTAAAGGCAAAAAAAAAAAAAAAATCATTTGGCCTTAAATATGTTAATGACTGGTCTTAAATTTCATCATGGCAATACTATGAAATCTCATTTATGTAGTTTTTTTTTCCTTTCTCACAGGCAAAACCTTGAGTCGTTTTCAGATGCCCGCTAACTAGCTGCTAATATCTGCTTGCTAGCCAGCTAGAAAATGTGCATTTAAAATTGTAGCTAACTAGTCAAATGCTTTTTTTGTCTATCATGGGTAAGCGCAGATTCATTATTGTCTGAACAATGTTAGTTTTTGACACTGTCTCCCTTCTGTTGCCAACACATACGAGACTAGACACATTCTGGGCAAAAAAAAAGAAAATGTCTAAGCTAGTCACTACGGTGTTGAGGCGGTAGAGAGTCAAGCAGAGTAAAAATGCACAAAACTTCTGTCAGTTGCCGCAGACAGACACCAAAAATGTACGTTTTTGCTATGCTTGATTGTAATATGACAGGATCTCCTGTACTTAAAGTTTTTTTGGTCTTAAATTTCATTCAAGGTGGTATTAAAAAGGTCTTAAATTCGACTTTCTGAAACCTTCAGATACCTTACTGATGCTCCCACCTCCGTGTCTCACCGTTGGGACGGTTTCATGTCGTCCAGAAACCTTAATTTTGGTTTCATCTGACCAGAGCTCCGTGTTTGCTGTTGTACCTTGTACAGCCTGCATAAGGGTCAGATCAATAGCGTGCACCACTAGTAGTCTAATACCGAAGCCCACTGCAGATTTTAGATGTTACTTGTTTAAAAAAAAGAAAAAGAAAACAATGTATCACTTTTTATGATTTGATTTATGGGACAGCTTGAGAAGGCAAAGCAAACAAGGTAAATGCATCAATGAGCCAGAAAATGAAAACCTTCCACCTCCTACCTCTCAGCAAGACATACTGGTGGGCCTTACAAAACCTGCTGAGGAAGGACTCCTTGCAAAAAAAATTCAAAATAATAACGTAATAAAGATATTAAGATGCTCATCTGCCCTTCAAACTCCCCATTTAACAGGAACTAGGACCTTTTGAGTGTAAAGGGCAACATTTACCCCCGTTGCTACAAAATAAAACTGGTCTAGAGACACCAAAAAAAAAGAGATTTTGTTTTGAAAGCTAATTCAATTTTATTTTAAGATTATTTTTCCTTAACAAAGAAAAATAAACCTGTATCTATAATATGGAAAATGAAGAAAGATGTGTAGATCACTCATGGTTTATTGTTAAAAAACACTTTGCACCATTGGTGTCCTTCTTCTGTAGATACTCTGTGAAGATATTTCATTAAAACATACCGGATAACTGCTAAAACTACCATTTCTTATTGACTTTATAATAAAAACATCATTTGGTTTTGTAAGAGCCAGACGTTGCAGACCTTTGATCTGGGTTTACAGACCTGGCAGAACCAAGTGTGGTGAATGTTTGGTCAATAGTAGCAAATAACGGCGACTGGCTGCGGTAGAAACTAATTGTAGGGTAATGATGTGTGTTATTGTAATATTTCTCCTCTCTCTGGAGACCAATAGATGCCAAATAAAAGCCTTCAGCATTATTGAAGATTCCTTTCATCCCTCCCTAGATCTGTTCAATCTCCTGGCATTTAGAAGAAAATATCAACTCTTAGGCAAAAAGTTCGGTCCCATTCCTCAAGCAATGAGAGTATTAAACTCTGATTGACAAAAAAGTAATTTTTTTCCCCTTTCTGTTGTTCAAAATTTTAGCCATATTTGGTGTTTTGATTGTCCTTTTCGCTGTGTAAACCGTCCGTTTTTTCTTCTCTTTCACAGTCTCCTGTGCGGAGCTCCGGTGGGGAGTGGTCGCTGTCGGAGCTCGACGTCCTGCTGCTGGCCGGAACCGTCGGCCACACGCTCAGCCTGGCGGCGAGCAGCTTCGTCGAAGAGGAGCACCAGACCTGGTACTTCCTGCTCAACACGCTCTGCCTCGCCGTCTTCCAGGATGTCTGCAGGAAGTACTTCAGGGAGCAGAAGGGCTCTGGAGACGAAGAGGAGCACCTCCTTCCGTCCAAGGACGGCCACTCCTCTGCTCACCCCAAGCAGGAGGTCGTCTCGGAGAAGTGGCTGGCGCTGGCCACGCCCCCCTTCACTCTGCTTTGCTGCCGGCTGCTTCGCTCCCTCAACCAGACAGGAGTTCAGTGGGCCCACCTCCCAGATGTCAGCCACTGGCTCAACAGGTTGGTTCTGTTGGACTGATGATTAGATGAGCAGGTTCTGGTGTTGGTGGAAATTCTAAAATCAGTCGGAAACGGCACCTGTTACGGGCAAAATAAAAAAGACCCAAAAATACGGGAGACTTGAGTTATTCCAGTTCGAGACTTAGTTCCTGTTTGTTTTAAAATTTACGTAGCTAAAATTAACGCATTAAAATGTCTTAAATTCATTTTGAAAATGTATGATGCCTTTAAATACAATAACCACAGGCCTTAAATGTTATTTAATCTAGCATATATAGTTGTTTTTCCCTTGCTGGAGTTTTCTGGAATTATGCCCAGATATCATCACAATATGTGACTCCAGAAGGTTTATGCTACCAGTAACTAGCTGCTAATACACCCTAGATAACTGGCTAACTACGCCCTATAGCTAGCTTGCTTTTCAGCAGTTGGTTGCACGATTTTGTTTTTAGTATGGAAGTGTTTAATTGCCAGAATTTACAAGAAAGTTAAGGATAAACAAAACTCATTTTAAAGAGATAAAAATACTTGCTATAATTAATAAAAAAAATCTTATGAGATGAAAAAAACTTTTAATGAGAAACTCATTATGAGATAGAAAAACTGATAAAAAGCTTGTTTTGACACAAAAAACTTAAAACAAGATAAACAACTCATAGCAAGATAAAAGAAAACAAGATATAAAACTGGTTTTAGCGAGATAAAAATTTTATGATATAAAAACTTTTTGTAATGAGACGAAGAAGTCATAACGAAATAAAAAAAATAGTGATTTATAGCTTGTTATGAACAAAATATCCTGTGTAAGAAAGAGTTTGTACAGCACCAACCACCACTATGGCTGAAAAGAGCAGACCCCAAAAATCTCAGTTATTTATATTGTTTTCTGCCTTAAATTTCATTCAAGGTGGCATTTAAAAGGTCTTACTTTTTAAGCTAGTTTTTGAGAGCTGCAGATTCACTAAGATGACAATAGGACCGCCAGGAGAAGTCAGAGCATCTCCGTTTTTTCACAGATTGTCTCATACTGTCAGGAAATAGTGACAGTAAAAATCAGATTTTTTTCCCCCCTATCTACTTCCTCTATATGTGTGTGCAAACGCTTATTTGGGGCTTTTCACACTTTCCTTTTATTCAGTAGCACAAGCTTAGCAGTTTAATCGAAACATTTAATGAGTGCTGAGCTTTTACTAGAGCTGTGATCTAAATTTTCGCCTCATAAAATACAGCATATTACCATCTTTGTTTCATTGTGTGGATATGTGGGAACCAAACCCTCCCAGCACAGTCAGAAACCAGAGTTGAGGCGGAACGAAAATAAAACGTGAACAGGTGTGATTTAATATTTAAGGCGAGAAATTCAGCAGCGGCTCTCTGGAATTAAAAGAAAACAAACACACCGGCGTCTCCAATTTAACCCACACTCAGTTCCAACGCAGCGGATGCATTTCTGCTGCTCCACCTCCACCCAGTCATAACATATCAGTGCAACCAGTCATTTTCTGTTCTTGAGGGGAGGATTTTCATCACCAGGGGATAAAAGGTTGTCAGACACTGTAGCTGCTTCAGTGCTAACGCACAGGAAGCTAATGCTGTAGCAACAGCTCGTCTCGCCAGATGTTTGCAAATGTAAATGTGAACACGGACCTACATCTCTTTTCTGCTGACACCGAAGCCGCTCTCTTCAAATGTGTTTTTTTTTCCTCCCCTCCACTTAGCATTTTGAGATAGCCGTCTGCGATTGTAGAAAGCCGTGATTTCACAGCGAAACTGTGACCACTCTATTAATATTCCGACAACATAGTTTGTTCTTGAACACACATCGCGTTGTGGAATAGAGATGCGGATTCTGACCTTTTCTCGGTCCGACGTTGCCCTTTTTTCTCCGCCCTACCTGCGCTACCGTCTCGCTTGGATAATGAGATCCAGGTAGTTGAGAGAGGAGAATATAAAACAAACAAACAACAAAACATCCCAACTTCCACCGGCCGTCTGATCCGGCTAACGGCTAACGCACGCGACTCCCGCTCGGCTTTGATGCGTCCTTTGAGGTCTTATTATTTCTAGCCTCGAGCTCGAAGTGGCGTAATTTCTTACCGACGTGCTCCTAAATCCGGTAAACAGCTTAAAATGGCTGATCTTAAGGTTTTAACTGATGCTGCTGCTGGATGTGACTGACAGCGTTTCATCTCATAAATGCTCGGCATCCATCCATCCAGTCATCAAGCGGTTCTGCTTTGATCGCTAAAAACTGAAATTGACAGGATCCTGTCTCGAGGTTGTGTAAATAAATAACTAAAGTCGGTTGGCCGTCCGCGCAAACAACGTGAAATATGAATGAACCTCCGCTTGGAAACTTTGAAATCTCTTCTTTTATATAAAACACGTTCTTTCTTTCTCACTTTTTTTTTTTTTATCTGTTTGTCAGCGCGGAACATAAGACGGTCCTGTCCCTGCTGTCCGCGCTCTGCTTGCTCCTCATCTACCTCCTGGTTCAGAGACGCTGCTCGCTCGTCTCCAAGGTCGCCCTGGCGCTCGGACTCCTGGGTGTCTACAGCTACCGGGCAGCTCTCGGCAATGTCCTGTTTCCCTGGCAACGCTCCGGCCGAGCCGCGTCCAAGTAAGTTTATTTTTTCTTTCTTTCTTTCTGGCCCGCAGGAATTTGATTTCATTCCTTTGCAACAACGGGCAACTTTTTCCCGCCCTTCACCCCCCCTCCCCCCATGACAGGAACCTGATTTAAAGAAAAGCGCCTTAATGCGCCGTGATGCAGATGAGTTTTGCAGGCCATAATGTGTCATCCGGGACAAACACTTAGACCACATCATTAACTGAGATGAACTACTTAACACTTGTGTGTTTTTTTTGCTTGTTCCTTTTTTTTATATATCTACGATAAATCCTGCTGCTCCAGGGTCTCTTCAAGTCATAAAATAAAAAAAATACAATAAAAATCTGACAGTGTTTTAAATTAAACTGATTACACACACCAGAGCAGCGGTGACTGTTGATTTAAATTGGCAGCCAGCGAGAAGTGCCTTACTATCGACAGCTTCTTCTTCTTGTTCTTCCCACACATCTTTTCATCAAAGCCACAGCCCCACCTTTTTTTTTCTCTCCCTCCTGACTGGTGTAATTGATGGATTTGAAGTTTCATTTTTCCTACACAGAGCAATGAGCTGCTTAGCGTAGTGAGCGTAGCAGAGATTAACTCGCATTTTATAGAGACAGATTACACACAGAGTGATTTATTCCACGCGTTTGTGTTTGTGCGTTTCCGATGATTACGGATGAAAAGCGCTGCGTCCCGTCACAGACTGGAGTTTGAGTCAGCAGACAGCTACCTGAAATCCTTGAAAGTGCTTGAATTTCAGTGAGGTGTTTTAAAGGTTTGGGACGTGCTTGATATTCTAGTTTGGTAATAAAGTGCAATTTGATTAAAGTATTATGCAGTGTCATGTAAAATCGACTTTTTTGAGCTTTACATCATGTTATGATATTATTCAATCAACAAAAACATACTTGGAGTGTTACCTTGATCTTTTTTTAATGCAAGTGTTAGAAATATTTTAATCTCCCATGGCAACCGTTAAGCCAAGCTTAGTTTCCAAACTTCCCAGCTTAGGCCTCAGAGAGCAGCCCTCCACCGCCACTCCTCCACTCAGCTCCTTCAGACTAGCCAGCAGCAATTAGTAAACACCTGTGGAACTGCACATCCCATTATACCGTCTACTTCTGAGAGCATCGCTGGTAAAAACATTAAAGTGTTAATAGAGAAGCCACGACTTCCTGAAGGTGGAGTTTCAGAAAGAGCAGGAGCTTCTTAAAGAGACAGAGGTCAATATCAGATACTACAATCGAACGTTGCATCACTGTCACGACCAAACAAATACCACATGACTAACCCTCTCCCCTTCACCTCTGGAAACAGCAACAAGATGGAAATAAATATTGGGTTAGTCCAGACCGATACCGATATGTAAAGAAAAAATAATGTCCTCAGCAAATATCGATGTTAATTCTTATGTATCATACATCCCTCCTCCAAATGTCCCACCTTTAACTTGTTCCTGTACAGATTGATTTGCATGACGAAGAGTAGCTCTAATTGTTCATATTTAAATTTGTTAGCATGAATTACACTCCCTAAATTTATAAACTCAGCTCTTTAAAGGGCCCTCTGCTCCCTTCTATTATTGAAAAAAACTAATTTTGCGTGGAGTTAGCTTTTTTTTTTTTTTTTTTTGATCCTGCAAACACCCTCTGGCGCGTAAGAGCAGAAAGAGCCGTTCCTCCTACATGCCCGAGCAATAATCAAGCATACTAGGTGCATAATCATGCTAATTTCCCGCCACTAGATGATAAAACAATTCATCTTGTGCCAACCCTTCAGTGTCCAGTGCTTTCAGGAGAGTTTCTGTGTGCTTGAACTCTCATCCTGACTCGTGGCTTATGCTAATGAGAGTTATATCTACATTCATGTATACACCTGTGCCGTATTTACATAATATCCTCAATGTTTACTAGATGTTCTCAGCATAGTGAGCCCGGTTGCTAAGTGCTATATTTCACTCCTCCGACACTAGTTAGGCTCAGAGTTATCGTCTGCTGAACCCCGTCAGAAAAATAATGAGCGTTCAGGGTTGCGCGCAGCTTTCCTGTCTACTTTTTATGACCTTTCTTCATCTCCCTCCAGTACCTGGCCCTTTCTACCCTCTTTTTTTTATTCTGCTCTCCTCAACAGTCTCTTCAACCTGCTCTGCTAATTAACAGCTCAACCTCTCACCCTGTTCACCGACAGCTGACAAAGCCAAGCGGAGTCTGCGGCTGCTTTTGATGATTGACGAGGCCTGAGCCAGATATTAGGCTTTTTATGTCGACCTCGAGATGCTGATTATTACAGCGCTGCTCTTCACAGGTTTTATTGTAGATTTAGACAAACGTCAAGTCTTCACGTTTCTGAGAACACAACAAGCGGTTCATCGCAGGAGCAAAAGTACGGGTGGGTGGAGGAGCAGCGGCCGTCTTTTTGCGAAACGCCGTCTTGCGGCAACTAGTTGGCTCAGCTGCGGATGCACCGATCCACTTTGTTCGCGTCCAAGACCAATATCAATATCTGAGGTTTAGCGCCGGCCGATACCGATCCAATAACGAAAAACTTTGTAGAATTAACTTGAAATGTTTCTTCTTTTTTTTTTAAATGCAAACATAAATGTACTCATTTATAAATGTATTTGGTGTACTGGTGAAGAGTTAGCAATGTCTTCACAAGCTTGAATAAACTTGCAAAAACAACAAAGTTTTAATTTCTTAAGTCAACCCAATTAGGTGTACAACAGTTTATGTAAAATAAATAATAAAGACACTGAAACTGACCAACATGGAGAAATAAACTTCCACAGCAAACCTTCTCTTCAAATGGTTCTGAAAGTACAATTAGAAGTGCAAAATAAATGATGAAACATGACATCAGAGCACAGAGCATAGAATTAGAGCGAATAGATATGTCCTTATGGATCTTGCACATCATCACGATCTAGAATTTCATTGCTGCATCTCTGGACTCAACTGCACCATAGAGCAGCAATCAGTTGTAGATCTGGTGCAAAGTTTAAATGCATCTATTTATAGCTTCAAACGATGCATTTAAACCGTTCTTCTCCATTGTTGAATAATATGACAGCAAATAACTTCCATAGGTTTAAAAAAAAAAAAAGTCGATGCACAAGTTTCAATCGCAGCTCAAAAATATACATCCACCCTAAGTAATATCCGTTGAAGACTCTTAATAGTTTCATCTCAGCCACATGATTTTTAGAAGCTTCAGATGTAATTCTGCACTGCATAAACACAAAATCTTACCAAATATTCTGTCTAGTATCTAGTATAAATACATAAGTACCCTTGAAATAAGACACAACTAACTTACAAATAACTTTCAGGAATATACCGGCTTTTTTTTTTTTTATCTCAATACTAACTGAATATTGAGGTAAAATTTCTAGTTTTGGAAATAAATACATAAGTGTTATTTCACTTATAACATGGGAAAAATGTCTTGTTACAAGTGAAATTATCTACCACTGGAACTGGACCTTTTTAAAATCAATATCATGGAATTATTGACTTAAAACAATAAGTCCTGATCAGATCGCAATCAGTCCTTTAAAGATCAGAGATCGGCCAGAAAAACGCAATCGGTGCATCCTGAGTCTGGTTCTATTCACTAGTAAATTAAGACGAAGAAAACTGATTAATAGACAAGAAACAATGTTTGCCGTCGCTAACGCTTTTCAGTTTAAGTTTTAATTGACTCATTTTATTTGTATGGGAATATGTCACTGAGAGATGGGCAAAAAAGAAAAAATAACCATTCCACCTGCATGAGCCTCCTGTGTTTCAGGCCAGATTTGCTCCGTTCTGGAGTTGTGCTTGGGATGAAACAATTGAATGTTTCAGCAGAACAGTGATCCCTAACACACACACACACACACACACAAATGGGCTTTGGGATGGATAAAGAAGGATGATATCGAGCTTTTAGACAGTCCTGACCTCACCTACATTAAAATTTATGGACTTTGCTGTAAAGCCAGGTCAGTGCCAGAAAAACCAACTGTGACGTTTCAGTCAAAACGGATGAGTAGACGTCCGTCTCTCCTTGAAAATGTGGTTAGATTTTGATACAGCAGGAGGGTCTGTCTCTGGTTTAATGAAAGGAAACATGTTTTTCACAACACTTTTTTCTATCGCTGTGTAAAGTGGATGTGTGGGAAGAAACTTTGCATGATGATCTGTTTTGTCTTTTTCTTTTTTTTTTGTGGATTTCTCCTTTTCCAAATCCACCTGACATCTCCCTGACTCCCTCCCCTCCCTCCTCTCTCTGTACCAGCTGCCTTTATTGCTTTGTTGCATCTTTCTAAACAGCAAATGGATTTGAGAACAGGAAATGTTACTCATTTAGAAAAGGCTACAAGAGGCTGAATGATTTGCCTTTTCTTTTGTTTTCGTGCTTTTTCCTACATACAAATAATCCATGCAGAAGTATTCGTAGCTTCTAGAACAGTGGTTCTTAACCTTTTTTGAGGTACCGAACCCCCCAGTTTCATATGCACATTCACCGAACCCCCCCGACACACAAAATAATTTGCGGTATTCTGATTTATTTATGTAATTATATTAGTTGTATTACCTCCCCCACGCCACTAGAGGCAGTACCAACCCCGAAAAGATGTTACTAAGGAACAGATTTAGACTATAGAATTTGGTAAAAAACTGTGAGCTTTACTGAAGTAATTAAAGACACAAGTTCAAATCCATGCTGAGAGTGGAGCTCCTCCGCAGCTCTGATTGGCTAAGCAATGTAACGTGATCCTCTGGAGCAAGTGATGGCAAAACGGGGCGTCATCACGACTTTACACAGTGTGTCTTTACCTCTCTGGCAGAGGATCCGCCGAACCCCTGAGACCGACTCATCGAACCCCTGGGGTTCGATCGAACCCAGGTTAAGAACCACTGGTCTAGAGCATTTCCACGTTCTGCCATGCTACAACCACAAAGTTCAGTGTGTTATGTGATAAGCCAACTCAAACCAGTGCATGATCTTTGTATGTAACTTTT